TTTCCCTGTTTCATGCGTATAAAGTTGAGAATGGTTCCTAACATGATCAGGATACCCAGCAAAATCAGAGAGAGTTACTTACAGAGCGACATCTGGAAAGACTTTTTATCCTTTGGGATGTATTTTAGGCTCCCCTTTTAAAATGAGATGATGAGGAAACTTCTACTGTTAGATCTGTGCTTTGGGAGGGATTTGGGAACAGAAAGGAAGCGATATAGCCAGAATTATACCTGCAATGTTTGCAAGCCTGCTGTTTGTCTTTTTGCATCTACTGCTTTTGCATATATTGCTGGGTTTATTGTGTTTTCATTCATTCTCAGAAGCCTGTAGTAAGTGATGGACCAAGGGATCACTTGCTTCATGAACCCCAATACATAAATGAAGATAGTAGAAAAATCAAGGTCAACAATTGGGCTAGCCAGCATTGGCTAACTGTAACATGCACAAATTTTGGTCTAGCCTGTGTTCTTTTTCTGATTCCTCAACTTAGTTAACAAAATAGATACACAAAATAGAAAGTCGCTAATATGACAGCAGGTGGCTTTCTACCTATGGTAAGCATAACAACGGAGTCGGTGGTTAGAGAGCTGGAAACCCTTGCAAGTTTGGAGGCACAGGTCAAAATACCCTTTTCCTTCCCTTTGGAGACTGGGAAGCACCACATCAGTGCTTGATCTTACATAGACACTAAGTGTCCTTTTTTTCAGAAATCAGTAAAATAGCTTTCTGAGCTGGCCTGCCTATGCCCATGCACATCTTTTCCTCCCTGGACTCTGACATGACTAAGAATAGTGAAGGCAAGGTTTTGCTTCTGAAGTTATTAGTGTATTATGCGATGAGTAAAATTCCCCTACTGAGTCATCATTTCTCTAGCATGTAGTATCTGTATAACAAGTTGGCCAGAATTTCAGCACCGCATATGGCTTTTTCACACATGAGCACATTTTTTATCACATACTTGTTTGAAAGGAGATATCAATTTCAGAAAACAAAGTACACCTCTTGTTTAAAAAATGGCTGTGTGAAGTATAAAAAGCTCCGATTTCACTTTCTTCCATAAAATCCATTATGCAAAATTCCCTAGGAAAAACAAGAAAATATATATATATAGCTTAACAGTACAAAATTCAGTGTGTGTTAAAGACTGTGGACTTTGCTAAGGCAGCATCATTCTGTAGAAACCAGTGATGATAAATACAAATATTCACCAAATTCTTCAAATTTCAGACATGGCACTGTCAGTATTGAGGTTTTTCACTATGCAGTTTTCTGTTTTAGAGCCTTGAAGCACCATTCAGTGAGCTACTCTTGTCAGATGGTCTTTTCCTTCGGAAAGAGGGAAGTCAAAATGATATAAGAGAACATGCAGGTGAATCACTCAGTCTTTAGCAACAACAGACAAGCCTCAGAGGTACCTTGGAGACTTGTTTCAAGTAAACATCCAAAATATAAGGCACCAGGATCTCTTTTGTTAAAGCCACTTTTGCATTGCCTATATACTAGAGAGTCGTGATTAAATGCTTGGGGATAGCAAGTGGAGAAATCTTACTGCTTAAGACAAGTCTTTCCTGGAACAAAAAGGCGATTTGGCAACCTCGTGTTCCTTCCCTCTCTACCTCCGTCCTTCCCAGTGCCAGGTCAGATTGAGGGGCTGTACCAAAGGGGTCCCTGAGCAGAGTGGTCATGGTCATGCTGGCTCCCCCATGTCTAAAACTTCACTGTGGTAAGACTCTGATTGTGCCTCTGCTCTACGTACTATCACTATGGTATTAAGGAAAGACACAGGCACACTGAGGTCTAAATAATTCTGCTTCTATTATCAAATAGCCCACAAGATCTTGATACAGACGAACGCAGTGATTCTGGCAGGTTTCCAGGAACAGAGCACAGAGTGGCAATCCTGGGCTCCTACCGCCTTTAATTCCTATGTGCTGTGGTCTTTTACGCTTAGTGTCTCCCTGCCCCATCGCTTACTGCAGGGTTCAGCCGGTTAGAAAAATCAGAGAGCCACAACTATTGCCCTGTTGTTGCCACCTGCTGTGGATTTTAGTCTCTTCCTGCAGACTGGCACAAGGTGTTGGGAGAGTCCTTTTGTGTGGGGAATATGTGGAGTAGGTGTTTTGTGGACCCACCTTGACTAAATGTTAGAGGGAGTGACCTGTGAGGAGGTCCTCTCTAGGCCTGTACTGCTACAGCTGGGAGACCTGCAGGACAACAACTGTCTCCAGCTCCCA